AAGAATGCATTGTTTTAGACTTTCCTCTATGTCTATGCCCAATTTAATTGGACTCCGTTCAATTTTCACTACAAACTGACAAACATCCATTCAAATTTTCGCATTTATGATATTAGTAAGATTATGTGAAATCATTGAACAAACAAATTCAATTTTTCTATATTAATTTAAGTCCCTTTCTCTTTACCACCCTTTTCTTATGAGAGGATGGGAAGGGGAAGTGGATTTGACGATGGAGGAGATGCATAGGAAGAGGAAATATCCTCTTTATGTGCGTCTCCTCCTCCGTCGGATAAGGATAGGCGACGCATCTGCAAGTGCAGATGTCTATGGGCAGCGGTCGCTTCGCCATTTTGGTGGATTCAGATGGCCGCTTGCTCGTTTGCCATCTTATGTAAAAAAAAACTTTTGTTACATATGTATTAGTAAGTCGTGTGGTACAATTATTATTGCAGTCACGTCTGTACTGTTTATTACTTTAACAATGTTACTTACTACATGTCATTTTTGTATACTTTTCTAATAGTTTTATCTATATCTATACATAAAATAAAATTGGAGTGTTTGTTTGTAATATCAAAAGAAAAAATCTGATAACGAAAATCGCATTTTTTTGTCTGTTTGTCTGTTCGCAAGTGCGACTTGCGAACAGACAAACAGTATCTTCGTAACAACCGGACTTTTACTGAAGGATAGCTGACATAGGCGGGCATATTATAGGCTTCTTCTTAACGTGTCATCTTCCGAAGTTCGGCCATCATTAGGGCTTTCGTTCTTGACAGCGCGGCTCTGAAAAGTGAACGGGTGCTCTTTCCATAACAAGCCCGGAACGCTTTTTTTCAGACTTATTATAGGCTACTTTTATTTTAATATTGCGTGGAAATCACGAAAACAGCTAGTCCTCTATACAATTTGTCGTAACTTGTTGGTCTCTTAGGTCTCATATGATGACAATCTTTTGTAGTTTGCAGTGAAAGCCCACTCTTAGAACAGATAACTTGAATGACACAGCTGTTAGCATAGATAGAGGGGTTATGTATCTACACCTCTGACCCTGCCTGAACTGCCGCCTCTAATCTCACGTCCGCTGAGCTCTGTACAGGGGTCACTTTTGACGCAATCGATTATGATATTACATGATAATGAGAAATTAAACTTACCATCTTACTAAAATTAACAGTGGTAGTGCCCGCTTTAACATGTTAGCAGTGCAGGGCTCGCCCTCAGTAATACCACGACCACACACAAGACAGCCGTCAAATGGAACCAATGCCGTGTTTCTGATGAGTGTGGTGCCGGAAGCCTCATTTAAGTTCCTTTCTCTTTACCACCCTTTTCTTATAAGGAGAGGTTAGAAAGAGGAAGTGGATTAGACGGTGGAGGAGATTCATAGGAAGGGGAAATGTCCTGTTTATGTGCGTCTCCTTCTTCGTCATATAAGGGGAGGCAACACATCTGCAATTGCGGATGTCTATGGGCAGCGGTCGCTTCGCCATTTTGGCGATTTCTGGTGGCCGCTTCTCGTTTGCCACCTTATGTTATAAAAATTATAAACTTTTCCTCGAGACGTTGTTCGCGTGGAAAATACAGAAAGTAGCATTTGTGTTCTTACTACGTTACATCTATACCAAATTTAATAGAAATCCGTTCAGCAGTTTAGGCTACAAACTCTAGCAAACATCTTAAACTGTCGCGTCTTACTAATATAATAAATTCCGATACTTTAGAGTTTGTAGCCTAAACTGCTGAACAGATCTCGATGAAAGTCTGAAAGAACACAGGCTACTTAGGGCCTGTCCCACCAAATTGTAAATTGTCTGATAACAATCCAGTAAAATATGTAATGGAAATATCGGATTTTGTTACCTTATCTGACAGTGACGTCATTTTTAAGCTATCTGCCAGTAACGGGACTGACCCTAACTTTTGTTTTGTAAAATGTTATTTAAAAAGGTTCAGTTATGGATAAATATTTACAAAAGAGTCTTTTATACGATTTTGTTATCAATAAGAGTAAATTTGTTTATGTATTTTGCTAAAAAGTACTCTGTTAAGTGGAATTTATCAACTTTGATAACCTTTGTACTTTAACACTGGTCACAAGATCATTTGTATAATTTGCCGTATACACTACTAGCTGTTGCTCGCGACTTTGCCCGTGTGAGATTAAAAAATATAGCCTATGTTATTCACAGATAAATTATCTTGTTAATGGTGAAAGAATTGTTGAAATCGGCCAAGTAGTTTTTATGTGAATCGAATACATACAAAAGTCTAAAAATCAAAAAATACAAATCATTCCTCTTTAAACTTCTTACTAATATTATAAATGCGAAAGTTTGGATGGATGGATGTTTATTAGAGTTCGTAGCCTAAACGGCTGAACGGATCTCGATGAAATTTGGCACAGATGTAGAGGATAGTCTGGAAGAACACATAGGCTACTCAATTTTGTTTTATATAATTCCACGCGGACGGAGTCGCGCGCGAAAGCTAGTATAAGTATACACTATTATGAATAGTTTATTCTTTCCAATCTATTCTTATGTTATAAAGAGGAAAGATTTATATTTTTGTATGTATTGAAATAACTCAAAAACTAATGCACCGAAAATAAATTCTTTCACCCAAAAGCTATGTTTTTACTGAGTAAAAGGCTTTTTATTATTTTTAATTACACGTGGACGAAGTCGTGAGCAATAGTTAGTATTTATAAAAAAATATCTCTTTACTAAAACCACCTAAATTGTTGTTTCTATGTTATTGGTTTTCATTCATCTCATTTTTTGATTCTCCATAGTAGGTCTCTGCCTACTCCCTAACGACGCCCATGGGCGATATAATTCCGTATCTTTTAACTTTGTTATTCATAAATTTATGTTATTTTTTTCTGCGAAAAATGATTATTTACAATACTAAAGTGATAACCTGCCCAACAATAAGATGCAATATTCTGAATAATTTCACCATTACAAAGTTTTTCACTGGTGACGCAGATAATTTTAAAGAAACGCAATATTAACTATTATTTATTAAATCTGTTTATTCGTTAGAAAATAAACAATAACTTTGTTACACTAATGATTAGTTGTTGCTTGCGACTTCTGCGTGATATTAAAAAAAAAAACAATTATATACATAGTCTATGTAACTCAGTGATAACGTAAATGGTGGAAGAATTTTTGATATCGGTTTAGTAGTTTTTGAGTTATTTCAATATATAAAAAATACAAATTTAAATTTTTATATTTAAAAAATCGATTATGGTATTTAATGAAATATTTTATAATTATTTCAGTAAATTTCAGTAAAAATTTTCAGTAAAAATCGTAATCTCGATTGATGTTGCCTTCAGTTGTAGTTAAGCCTTAATTCCACTTGGCGGGTAAACGCGCGACACTCCTGTTTTTATAGTAAATTGCAGTCGCGCTAATGGAAACGCGAAGTGCATTAGAATAAAAATATTACCTTATCAGTGGTAGTAATACATTGAGGGCAATAAATTGAATATCTGTAAGGTGAGAGGCTATCGGTTGCGGGTTGGGAAGCTATCTGTGTGGAAAATATGCCGACCTTGCGACCGCACGTATCTAGCTCGAGTGACTAACCCTGGCTACGTCATAAATGTATCATGACTTGAAGATTTATTTAAATAAAAAGAAACTCCAATAAAAGGAAACTTAAGTTTCAGATTGGATTTTTTAAATATTTCACGAATTGTTGAAATTATTTTATTTACCTGTTTTTTTTGTCGACACTTTATCAATGCTTGCTTGATTTCTACTTAGAAATTTTTTCCATAATGTTACCGTAGTGCTATTCTTAGTAATGTCAGTGTTGAATTTAAAAAAATCTAGCTTAAGTTCCTCTCGCATAGTCAGCTGCTACCAGTGAAAGTCCCGTCAATATCGGTCTGTTAGTTTTGAGTATTACCCGGAACATACCGACAAGATATTTAAAAATAGATTTTTTAATTGCCTCAAATCGTGCTTCGTACTATTTAATATTATAAATGCGAAAGGTTAGATGGATGAGTGTATGGATGTTTGAGTTTCTAGCCTAAAAGGCTGAACCGATTTCGATGTTTGGTATAGATGTAGAGGATAGTCTGGAACACATAGGCTACTCACTTTTCTTTTTCCCACGCGGATGGAGTTAGTACATGAAAAAAAAATTTGTGAGGGCGAAAACTAGTACGTGATATTTGCGAAAGATGACTATTTTCTATATTACATACAAATACTCTGTTTTCATTAACTCTATAGATATACTTTGAACACGAAACCAACAGGCATGTGTAATATAAATGTAGAAGAGATAGGTGTTCATCATCCACTTGCCCTTATCCCTATGGAGGGTCGGCACAGTATATGCTGCTCCATACATCTCTATCATCCGTCATATCTGAATCCACTTCCTTAAGCGTATCCTCTTTCACACAATCCATCCATACTTTCTTTGGTTTTCCTCTTCCTTTGTAGCCATCTACATTTATTGACACTTTCTGGTTTATGTGTATATCGTTTCGTCGCATAACATGTCCATACAACGCTAACCTTTTACTTCTCACTTTTTCCATCACTAGAAGAGAAAAGTCTAATAGAAATCCATGTTCTACCTACCCCTTTATGTTAGGGTTGCATCATCCTTGTCCTATCATTGTAATATGAATGTATCTGTTGACAGAACAAACAGCCGTACTTCCCCATCTTCGGGGAGCAGCACCCGCGGCCGCCGCGCTCGCGGCCCAAGGACGCGCAGGGCACGGTGCGCGCCTGCGCCGCCTGCCACCACCACCTGCTGCAGCAGTGGAACACCTACCAGGTAACACCACAAGGACAATACACACATCATCGTACATTTCCCTCGCCTTGAGAGTTTAAAAAGGGAATTTCACGTCACAATGGATACAAAAGTTTAGATAACTATTGCTGCACCAAATAATCTATACTATTATAATAAAGCGTAAACACACACTTCTTTGTTACCTAAGATGTCAGCAATTACACCATATTATTAATAACTCCGTTTTTAATACAAAGCCCTACATTTACGTCACGCTTTTGACTATATATTTTAACGCCATTAAGCTTAGGGGGTAAATGTTTTGGGTAATACCCTAATGTGGGAAAGAGACCATAAGTTGCTGCCAACATCAAAGAAGCAAGGTTACCATACTTTGTCATGATGTCATGTCATTTTGACATTTGCAAATGATAATTTGACACATGTAAACAACATAATTTTATGCGGATGAAGTCGCACGGGAACAGCTAGTTTAATTATAATCTATATTAGGTTTTTGTATATGTATAACATGGTTTGCACACCTTAATGAAACGACGTCAAATCTTCCTATTTCTGTTGACAATTAAAACCGCGTGTATTCACAATGACTCTGATATTTTAGAACAAAGATCCAAGATACAAGATCAAAGTTTCCACAGATTAAAAAAACAAAGAAAAATATGTTTTTCTTTACATATGTAAGAAGCTAAGGCCATGCAACATATATTTCCCCTGTGAAAGTTCATCCAGTCGAATCTATACTTTAGGGGGTGGTTACACGGTTTCGGGCAAATCGTTCCAAGGCAACAATCGTGATAATTCTAAAAATCCGATCGTTCAGCTAAATCTAATAAAAGTGGGAACTTCTCACGCCTACACACTAGATTTATCTAAACGATGCGACTGTTCAAATAAAACAGAGCGTGTGTAACGAGCTTTATAAACTGAATGGACGAAATAAAGTTAAAAAATATATAGCCAATGTTACTTAGCAATAAAGTAGCTTTTTAACGGTGAAAGAATTTTTGAAATCGGCCCAGTAGTTTTTGAGTTATTCCAATACATAAAAACATAAAAATCTTTTCTCTTTATAATAGTACCAGCTGTTGCCGGTAACTTCGCCCGCGTAGTATTAGAAAACATACGAACTATATAAATTACAAATAGCTACATATCCCTCGAGAACCGGACATTTCTCTGGGATGAAGCTTATCCCATGTGTACTCCAGACTTTGTTTTATATCTGTGACAAATTTCAATAAGATATGTTGAACCGTTGCAAAATGATCGAGTAAACATTGTAAAACTAAATTCTAAACTATTCCCGGGATAAAAAGTATCCTATGTGTTCTTCCAAACTATGCTCTAAATATGTGCCAAATTTAATGGAGATCCGTTTAGCCGTTTAGGCTACAAACGCTAACAAACATCCATCCATTCATCTAAACTTTCGCATTTATAATATTAGTAAGATAGAAGAAAAATTGCACCCAAGATGGTTCGGCTATCTACCTAGATAAAAAAAATGTCCTACTTTAGACTTTTGATGTAAACTAAATAGAATTAAATACGACAGACTTTCCAATTGTGTTAATTCATAATACAAATAAACATTTATTCGTAGTGTTAAAATTAGACGTAGTACTGCGCAGTGCGAAAGCTACGTGTTAGCGAGCATTGTGTAATTTGAACATGTTTGCTTGAAGATAAATATTTGACAAGGATTTTAGAAAATCTTTATAAACTGTGTTGAAAAGTTTTCAATTACTTATATCGTATCGTAATCGTATATATCATAAGATGCAGGGCAAGGTCTCTCAGAGAAATCCTTAGGTATTTCTACTCACCCCAAATTATTTAGACTAGTCTAAAAGTTTCTTTGTCATAGTAAACATTTTTAACTGTCTAAAATAACAGGACCTTGCTTTTTTGATGAGTTATACGTAATCTATCGTATTCTTAACGTAAAATTTGCAAAATATATATTAACAATGACATAATATTGTTAATTACTAGCTTTCGCCCCCGACTTCGTCCGCGTTTAAATAAAAACCAAAAGTGACAAGCCTATGTGTTCTTCCAGAGTAGCGTCTACATCCAATTTTCATCGAAATCTGTTAAGAAGTACATCCATTCAAACTTTCGCATTTATAATATTAGTAAGATGATTGCTCAAATATAAAAATTTGCAGTTCTTTCGTTACTTTTACTTGTGCTTCAGTAAGTAGGTTAATATTTAGGAATTTACACCTTGAGAAAGTCTGAAAATCGTTCTGTCAACAAAGAGATTTGAAACGTACATAGAGGAAACATGAGACATTTTTCACATGATTACTAACGCTATTTATAGACAACTTTAAAACCATAATTCAATATTAACTGTATTTAAATTAATTGCCAATAGATGTCACTAATTAATATTTATTATAAATGTTTATATTTAAATTTGTAACACTGTTTTATTTCTAACAATAGATGGAGCTTATTCTAATTTTGTAGAATGTTTTATCAAATGTCAATTTAAAACACGAGGTGGCACTAAACTTGACAACTGATATAGTACCCTTTAGAGAAAGTGCCGGTGAAAAATCTTGTTCACTGCCTTGTCTGTATATTTTATGTCTTTGTCTTATTTATCTCTTTATGTTATAATAAAGCGTAAACACACACTTCTTTGTTGCCTAAGATGTCAGCAATTACAGCACATTTTTGAATAATTCTTTATTTAATAAAAAGCCCTACACTTACGTCACGCTTTAGGCTATATATTTTCACGTCGTTAAACTTTAAATCTCAAAATTTTGGATAAAAACCCTAATGTGGGAAAGAGACCATAAAGTTGCTGCCAACATCAAGGAAGCAAGGTTGCAATGGTTTGACATCATGTCACGTCATTTTGACATTTGCAATTAATAAATCTACAAATGTAAACAGTAAAATAAAATTTTTATAATTTCATGCGGATATAGTCGCATGGGAACAGCTAGTTAGCTAATAAAATGAAATTCTACAATGCAATATTGCATAGTTAAATGATGCTAATTTAACATTTCCTTTACATTTGTGGTTTTTTTAGCCAAAGTATGATAATTTTAAAGGCAAATTTTACGTAAAGCGTGTTGGAGTAGGTCGGGTTAGACACAAATCTAGATGAACTAATAACTAGGCGGATGTTATATTAAGACCCGAAAGCCTATTTGGAATGTATTTGCGAAATACTTTATACTATAGGGTATAATAAGCCTAGTTATAAGTCGTAATAATTAGTAACAGAATTTATGCATATACATATTTATTTATTTATAACTGGCTTACGCCCGCGAATCCATCCGCGTGGAATTAAAAAAAAAAACAAAACTGAGTAGCCTATATGTTCTTCCAGACTATCCTCTACGTCTATGCCAAATTTCTTCGATATCCGTTCAGCCGTTTAGACTACAAAATCTAACAAACATCCATCTATCTATCCATCCATCCAACCATCTATCTAAACTTTCGCATTTATAATATTAGTAAGAGGAACATAATTTTACCGACCGATTTGTAATTTTGAAGTCTAACGTAGTCCCATATTTAAGATACTTTACCCAATACTACAATCGACTTGTAATAAATGGTGATAATGTGGTAACTTGTAATGAGTGGTAATAAATGGTAATAAATACCTTTTCAAGGCTTACTTACACTTTTCTTATTTTCTATACGATTACACATTAAACTTAACTTTTTAAAATCCAGTCATAATACACAAGAACACATAGAAGTTGGTTCAACGCTCTTTTAAAATAGTTTTAATTATATAGTTAATAGCTTTCGCGCGGAATTTAAATAAATAAATGCACGTAGCCTATGTGTTATTCCAGACAATGCTCTACATCTATCTCATATTTCATCGAATTCCGTTCAGCCGTTTAGGCTACAAACTCTCACAAACATCCATACATCTTGATTTCTGTTACATTCGTTTTCTTTAATTACACAGCGATTACTTTATTACGCAATAAATAAACATTGATATGATTTAACTATTTGATTTGGCAAATGTTTGAAATGGGTCAATAATTACGATAACACAACATTGTGCCACATCTCCTCCGTGTGATAACTTGGCCATTGTCACGCGAATGTTGAAGACAGTGACTGTTTTATTTTTATAATTGCCTTAGTACTATCGACAGTTCACTCCGGGTCTAAGGGCAATTATGTATAGATAACGCATACTCTGATCCCACAGTTAATAAAATAACCGCACAAACGAATAAAGACTCTATACACTTTAGAAACGTACAATTTTCCCTATTTAATCTGTATTGATACTATTGAAACGTAATTTTATTTATAATCTGTTATTAACGGTTGACCATTTTGTTGGCTGTACGTGTGTTGCTTTTGCCTTTTTGTTTTAAGAGTTTGTGCGTGTGAAATTGCCGCGTAAAAGATAGTGAAGGTTATAATTTAGATTTCGTTTTGAGTGTGATTTATTAGTGAAAAATGCAAATTAGGAAAATGTCAAAAGGAAAATTTGGACTATGTCTATGTTTACATATTGTGATTTGTGATTTTTGTTAAAATTTTACACCGACTTGTGAAGCTGCGTATATAAATAATGTAAGTGAATACATATTTATTTGAAAACATAAAAGTTACTAACACTAGCAAAACTATAAGTGTTACCGTTTAAAAATACTATCGTAGACATTTCTATATGCTTATTTTTTACCAAATGTTACAAAATCATTCGTTTACATGTTTTTCGCGCCAATTTTGTTGAGAAATAGTGATTGTAACGTTACGACGAAGTCGAAATCGGAGTTTCAAGCGTGCGGCCGCGTTACAGATAATTCGCAATTAGAAAAATCGAAACGTAATATATTTAATCTGTTATCTAATCGATATCCAAGTGGCTGTACGTGTACTTTTGCCTTTTTTGTGTTTAAAAATTTGTATCAGGTTAAAAATCGGTGTAAAAGTCAGTGGATTGCTCGCGCCGGCCGCGTGACCGATAATCCGCGATACGATATCGTCTTTAGAACGTT